TCCCAATCCACTCTCTAAACGCTGGGAGGAGTGAGGAAGCAGACAGGCACCCTTTTCACTGGCCAACAGTTAACTGAAAATTCAAATTTTGCACTTTCCCTGCCTCCCACGTGGGTTTTTTTCAGTTCTTAACTCAAATCTAAGTACTTAAGTCAAGTCAATATTTTCCTATGAGAGCGGTTCTTAAGTCAAAATGTTCTTAACTCAAGCCGTTCTTAAGTTAAGACCCCACTGTATATTGAGAGATAAAAGAATGTGACTGACCTTGGCCTTGGTCTCCAGTGACACACCCTTACACAGGATGATTTTCTCTCGCTCCTTCATGGCTGCCCTTCCTAGTCTCAGATTTCTTCTGATTTCTTGGCTGCAATTTCTATTTGGATTGATGTTTGAACCAATGTATACAAAGTCTCTACGGTGGTGCCTCGCAAGATGAACGCCTCGCGGGACGAAAAACCCGCAAGACGAATGTTTTGTGATCACTATGGTGCCTCGCAAGACAGCTTCTTCTATGGCTGTGCTTAGCAAGACAATTTCCCCCCAAGACCAATGCCTCGCAAGATGGAAAAATTTCATTCATCTTGCGAGGTGCAAGACAATTTTTTCACAAGACAGCACTACTGGCGGAACGAATTACATTCGTCTTGCGAGGCACCACTGTATTTCAATTTTTTCATTGCCAGTGCTAAAGTTCTATCATTCTTCTGCAGTCATGATTTTTGTCTTCCTAATGTTCAGCTGCAGACCTGCTTTGATACTTTTTTCTTTCATTTTCCTAAAAGTCATTTCAAGTCATTGCTGCTTTCTGCCAGTAACATGGTATCATCTGCATCTCCTAAATTACTGGTATTTCTTCCACCAGTTTTCACTCCTAGTACAGTTTTCCACATCAGTTCCGTGTACAGATTGAACAAACTAGGGCCACAACAGGGGCAAAAAAGTTGCCTGTGAAGTCCCAAACTTGTCCTTCTGAATCTCCCCTGCTATTAGCTTTTTTAAATGATTCAGACTATTTACCAATCAGCCATTTCTAGCGGTGCCATGGTGCTCATCCAGCTTGGTAAAATCCCACTGACACATTGCTAGGCACATCCCGAATAATACACAGTACTGTCCTGTAAGGAGGAGTCATCAGAGTCCCACGCTTCACCTCAAGAATGCCATATCCTATCAAGGACAAAGCCTCGCAGGTTGGCTGTCCATTTCCAAGGCAGATCTTCCTACAAGTCATTCCCCAACGTCTCACTGCAGGGTTGCATTTTGCAGGCAGCTTGTGGGGGGAACAGTGGGAGGTGGGAAAGAGATGAGCTTGCCAACAGTTGTAGAGGAGACACTGAATAACAGGCTTTAGACAAATGGCCTGACTGACTTTGTGCACTCAGAACACTACTCACTCGTATGGGACCCTGGACACTTCTGTTTATGGGCCATGATGGACCATGCAGGATTATCAATGCTATGTAAGAGAACTCCAAGAGACAGAAATATTCTCTCTCTCTCTCTCTCTCTGTACATGTATGTGTGAATCAACTGTTTATGCTTTGTAAAGTTTTGGGGGGCATAAGAGTTATACATGGATTTTGAACTACATGAGGCTCTGGCACCCCTAACACCGGCATTGTCAAAGGAAGAAATGTATAGTTAAAAATTAAGAACAAATTAAATAATTGCCATTTGTGGTCCTAAAATGAATGCTGGGTCATTTTGCTCTTCAGAAAGGTGAAGTGCAACTCTGCTGAATGTGAAGGATTGGCCAGCTGTACGCTCTTGCCCAGGGGCTGACGGAGTATGTTTGCAATGCTTTTCCACTCTCTAGGGAGTCTGATTATTAATACAATGATACCAATTATTTATACAATGTACAAATTGCCTTTTCTATTTTAATCCTTTTGTCAAAACTTAAAACCAGTTATTCTGAAGTTAAATGGGAGACATTTCTTCAAAATTACAGTAGGCCTGGAAATAGATCAAAAAGTTTTAAAAATTGGTAATTTAAACCAAGTTAGTATGCATTTTTGGTACTTATGCTTAAACAATATAAATAATTGTGGGAGGTGGCCCTAGTGAGTTTATAGTAATCTGAGCTTGTGGCTTTTAAACCATGTTCCAAGCCTGGATACTGTAAAACATGAAACCACTATTTTAAGACTAAATGCTATACATAGTATGGTCTCTGGCTCCCTCTAGTGTCCAGTTCTGATAACTTCATTGTTAAAAATATATAGGGGATTTTTTTTTCTTTTAATATTTTTTATATTTTCAGACTGTGGGTAAGTGAATCAGTGGATAGTGATCCTGAAGATAAAGGGATTCTACCGTGTTTAGAGCAAAATGTCCAGGAAGTTAGGACATGCAGTTCCTACCAGGTAGATTGAAAAGCGGCTGAAATAGCCCCTGGAGGTGCTGTTTATAGGATCATAGAAAGCAAGTTTGGACCAATTTTAAAATAAAGAAAACATGGCACAAACTGTGTTTTCCTAGACTTTGGAGAGAAGTGTATCTTTAAATGAAAGAAAATGGTTTTACAGCTCTGGTTTTGTGTTAGGGAAGTTAGATTCCTTCTAACTTAAATCTTTTAACAATATAGATAAAGATTTGAATATTATTGTATATAATATATAAAACTACTCCATGCTCAAATGGACTAAGCTTCTGTTGCACTAATGGACAAATACAAAGGGAAGGATATTTCGAAAACTGAAGTGATCACAAGATAATTTGTAAATGCAAAAATAATGATTGTGTATTGAAGATGTCTTAAAAATCATTAATTGCCTTTCCTTACTAGAGTGTTTAAAAAGAGTACAAGAAAGCTCTTTGAATTCACAAATTTAATGTTCTCCATTAATAGTTAAAGGGAGGTACCTTGATTGTACGGATATTCCTCTCTACAGCAAACAGCAGTTGAACAAGGAAGATTTCAGTACAGAAAACAGCAGGTTGGGTTTTCTCACACACACTCACTCACAAACACAAACACATACAATGTCCTGCAG